ACGCGTTTTATCAATCGGTGAAGGTACAAATCTCGATAGCCAACCGAATTCAACCGTCGCTACGTTCTACACAAGAACTACAGCCCGCGAATCTACCACTTCTAGAAATAATTATTCCACACCCCATGGTTATAAATCGACAAACGGACATGATTCTGCCAATAGTTATAACCCTGGTAACCGAAAAAGACCGTCACAACGACCCTGCGTGTACTGCCGTGGACCTCACAACCCCACGGATTGCGTCAAAATATCTGACCATAAGACGAGAATGGATATTGTTAAACGCAGACAACTTTGCTACAATTGTCTCGGAACACACCCCGTTAAACAATGTAAATCTCGATACACGTGTAGACGTTGCCAGGGGAAACATCACACCTCGCTCCACGATGAAGGAAACGCTTCCAAGCCATCTGAAGTTCGAACTGCCAACGTCAGTGTGAATTTCTCTCACGCGTCTCACAACCCGTCTCAATGCTCGTATCAGGGGAGACGTAGTACAACTGATCCACGAACACGCCGTGTCTTACTAAAGACAGCCAAAATTCCAACAACGTGCGGAGGGAAACAACAATCGCGACAGTTCTATTCGACGAAGGTGCGGATCGTTCGTTCGTAACCAAAAGATTTGCGCAAGCCATCGATGCTAAAGTACACAGTTCAGAAGTACTCAACCTGAAATCTTTTTCAAATCCACGTACTGGATTCAAGACAATTCCGTGTACCACTCTACAGTTGCATCAACGCAACGGCAATCGCACACCTATAGACCTCCTTTACGTGGAAGAAATCTCCGACAATCTAACGAACAATGTAAACACTGATATCAAGCAACTTAATTATCTTCGCAAACTCAAGCTTGCACATCCAATTTCCGATGAAACTACTATGACGATCGACATTTTAATAGGTGTGGATCGGTATTGGGATTTTGTTGGAAATCACGTAATCCGAGGCCACGGTCCCACAGCTGTCAGCTCGTGTTTCGGATACTTACTATCAGGACCCATCAACACCGGTAAGCCACGTACGAAACACGTACAAGCATTTCACCTCACCGCGATCCCGTCCGATGATGAACTGCTCGCCAAGAACGTCGCTTCGTTTTGGGAACTGGAATCGATCGGTATTCGCGATCCAATAAACCCCCCGGAAAAGAAGACAACCGACGACGAACAATTCAAACAATATACAGAAAATTGTTTGTCCGAAGAAAATAATCGTTTCATCGCCAAACTACCATGGAAGTCTAGCCACTACTCACTGCCAACAAATTTTGACATTGCGAACAAACGCACTCGTCATATGATCAAGAAACTGCCACGTGATATTACTCAAGTCTACGATAAAATCATCTCGGATCAACTAAAAGCCGGTTTTATCGAGCGAGTAGAACAGGATGACACTACCAGTGGTCACTATCTCCCTCATCGTTCAGTTAAACGCGATAGCTCCTCAACTCCAATCCGCATCGTGTACGACTGCAGTGCAACTTCCGGAATCGGACAACCAAGTTTAAACGACTGTCTGGAAAGAGGACCCCCACTATTGAACGACCTAACCGCAATGTTAGTTCGTTTTCGCTCCAATCCAGTCGCATTAGCAAGCGATATCGAAAAAGCCTTCCTACAAATACGACTCGCAGACGAAGACCGTAAATATACGAAATTCCTGTGGTTATCTGACATAAATGATCTAACCAGTGAATTCATGACATACCAATTCACTTCCGTATTGTTTGGAGCCAGGTGCAGCCCGTTTATTCTGAAAGCCGCTATCAAGACTCTAATAAACAATCATCCGAATATACCTGCTGCCAACGATCTACAACAAAACATCTATGTTGATGACGTAGTAACTGGTAGTCGTGATACTAACGAAGCTATAAAATTCTATGAAGACTCAACGAAATTATTGTCTACACATGGATTTAATCTTCGATCATGGAGTACAAATGATCAAACCACCCGTGATGTCATTAAACAAGACAGTAAAGCGAATCCTAACACTACTGTTAACGTGCTAGGTGTGAAGTGGAACACTGAAAGTGACGTCATCTACCTGAAACCACTAAACTCACCAAATATCAACGCCATGACCACAAAGCGTGAAGTAGTCAGTTTCGCCGCCAGTCTCTATGACCCACTAGGTCTCCTTTCACCGGTGCATGTTCGAGCGAAGTTGTTTATTCAATCGCTATGGAAACTGAATCTTCATTGGGATACACCCATATCCGACGAACTCAATACTAATTGGACTAACATAGCTCACGATCTACGAGAGGTAACAAACATTTGCGTTACCCAACATTATTTTGCCGACAGTGCCGATAACAAGAACAACATCGAGATACACGCATTCTCAGACGCTTCAAGCAAAGCCTATGGTGGTGCTGTGTACATAAAGTCAGGAAACCAAACTTCGTTGGTGATGTCAAAGACACGTGTTGCACCAACCAATAAAAATACGCTGACTTTGCCTCGTCTTGAACTCATGGCTGCTTTGACCACAACCCGACTCAGTAAATTTGTCTCCAATGCGTTGTCAGTGAAATATAATATCACTCGTCGCGTGTTGTGGTCAGACTCCCAGATAGTTCTGCACTGGATAAATTCCTGCGGCAAACCAGACCTATTCACTTCCAATCGCATAACGGAAATAAACAGTTTCCCACAAGAAAGTAGGTACGTACCGACCAGCTCAAATCCTGCCGATTTACTAACCCGCGGACTTAAATGTGAAGAATTACGCAACTCTACCCTCTGGTGGACCGGTCCCTCATGGTTGAAAAATCGCGCCTTGTGGCCTGTATGCGAACTCTTTGGTGCCGACACGATATCTGACATAACCGTGAATCATTTACTAACTGGCGACACCCATGAACCAATCATAGCTGAATGACATCGTCCTAGTTCACGACTACGTGCGCAAACGAGTAAATTGGCAATTAGCACGGGTAACGCGACTACTGCCAGGTAGCGATGGACTGATCCGAACCGCTGAAATCCAAACCAAATTCGGAGTTACAAATCGACCAATTGCTAAATTGTATCCACTGGAGATAAGCAATATCACACCAACAAACGAATTGTCGACTTCACCCCGAGAGAATACTTCAACAGATTATTCCGAATCTACACCCATCGCCTCATTGGAAACGGGTAATTCAATCACAACGCAACCCCCTACTCAGAACAGCCACCCATTCTATCTGAGACGATCAACACGCAAGGCCGCGATACAAGCCCAAGAACGGATTTATCATCTGTCGAAGTCTGAACTTTAAAGTTGTAATACATGTACATATATTAGTGAACAAATATGTCTTTTACTATTTGAATTGAATCAACAACAAACATATTCATTACTGTGCGATGTACGTTTTCTCGCGCCCCGAGTATATCGTGGTGCTTATCCACGTGTGTGTTTCTCGATTCAATTATATTTGTTGTTGTTTAATTATAGTTATTATTTTTCATTCGTATTTACTTTGTATCGATAGACAACCATTTTCTGTATTTGTTCGTTTTGGTTTCATTCGATTCCAAGCATTATTCTCTGA